TGATCTCATGATCTGCCTTCCTTGGCCTCCCAAAGTGCTGGGATTACAGGCATGAGCCACAGCGCCCGGCCATTCTTTTTTTTTTTGAGACGGAGTCTAGCTCTGTTACCCAGGGTGGAGTGCAGTGGCATGATCATGGCTTGCTGCAACCTCCGCCTCCCAGATTCAAGCAATTACCCTGTCTCAGCCTCTCAAGTAGCTGGGACTACGGGTATGCACCCCCAGACCTGGCTAACTTTTTTTTTTTTGAGATGGAGTCTCGCTGTGTCACTCAGGTTAGAGTGCAGTGACGCGATCTCAGCTCACCGTAAGCTCTGCCTCCTGGGTTCACGCCATTCTCCTGTCGCAGCCTCCCGAGTAGCTGGGACTACTACAGGTAGTCTGAGGCCTGGCTAACTTTTTTTGTCTTTTTAGTACAGATGGAGTTTCACCATGGCCAGGCTGGTCTTGAACTCCTGGCCTCAAATGATCCGCCCATCTCGGCCTCCCAAAGTGCTGGGATTACAGCCCGAGCCACTGTGCCAGGCCAGTCAATAATAATTTAATTGTATATTTTTAAATAACTGAAAGAATATAACCGGATTATTTGTAACACAAAAGATAAATGCTTATTTATTATGATGTGATTATTATGTGTTGCATGCCTGTAGCAAAGTATCTCATGTACCCCATAAATATATATGCCTACTATGTACCCACGAAAATTAAAAACAAGAAATTTAAAAAGTTAAAACAAAAGAAAAAACCCAGTGTGATGCTGACCTAAGGGTAGATAGAGAAACAAATGGAGTAGAATAGAGAACCCAGAAAAAAACCCTCACATATATGGTTAACTGATTTTCAACAATTGATTTTCAACTATTTTCCCTTGTTGAAGATAGTTTTTTAGACTATTTGATGGGGAAAGCATTCGTATTTTTGACAAATGTTGGTGGGCAATGGGGGAAACATGCAAAATAATGAGGTTAGACCTTTTCTGTACCCCACATAGAACGCTTAGCTCACATACAAAAAATTAACTCAAAATGGATCAAAGATCTAAACTTAAGTGCAAAAACCATAAAAATCCTAGAAGAAAATATAGGCGAAAATCTTCATCATATTGTATTTGGCAATGATTTCTTAGATATGATACCAAAAGCACAAGCAACAAAAGTAAAAATAGATAAATGGGACTTCATCAAAATAAAAAGTTTTGTGCTTCAAAGAATACCAGCCACAAAGTGAAAAGACAGCTCACAGAATGGGAGAAAGTATTTGCAAATCCTACATCTGATAAGGTACTTGTACCTAAAACATATAAATAACTCTTACAATTCAATAAGAAAAAGACAAATAGACCAATTGAAAAATGGGTAAGGGGCCAGGCACAGTGGCTCATGCCTATAATCCCAGCACTTTGGGAGGCCAAGGCGGGTAGATCACTTGAGGTCAGGAGTTCGAGACCAGCCTGGCCAACATGGCGAAACCCCATCTCTACTAAAAATACAAAAATTAGCCAGGTGTGGTGGCGTGTGTCTATAATCCCAGCTACTCCGGAGGCAGGAAAATCACTTGAACCTGGGAGGCTGAGGTTGCAGTGAGCCAAGATTGCACCACTGCACTCCAGCCTGGGTGACAGAATGAGACTCTGAGTCTTCAAAAAAAAAAAAAAAAAAAATTAGGCTGAGTCTCCAAAAAAGAAAAAAAAAAAGAATTCTGATACATACTACAACATGGATGAACCTTGAAAACATTGTGCTAAGTGGCCAGACATAAACTATAGTCACATATCATATGATTCCATGAATATAAAATGTCCAGAACAGGCAAATCTACAGGGAGATTAGGGACTGCCAGGGGCTAGGCACACAGGGGAATAGAGAATCACTGCCTAACGGGTTTGGGGGTTCCCTTTGGGGTGATGAGAATGTTTTGGAGCTAGATCAAGGTGATGCTTGCAAACATTGTGAATGTACTTAATGCCACTGAATTGTACACTGTAAAATGGTTAAATGGTAAGTTTTACATTGTGTTTATTCTACTACAATTTCTTTTTAAAAACTGAGCTTATTATTTTTTCTGTTTTTTCCTTTTGAAACAGGGTCTTGTTCTGTTGTCCAAGATGGAGTGCAGTAGCACGATCATGACTCACTTCAGCCTCGACCTCCTGGGCCCAAGTGGTTCTCCCACCTCAGACTCCCAAGTAGCTGGGACTACAGGCCAGCACCACCACACCTGGCTAATTGTTTTGAATTTTAGTACAGATGAGGTTTTGCTATGTTGCTCAGGCTGGTCTGGAACTCCTGGGCTCAGGTGATTCACACACCTCAGCCTCCCAAAGTGCTGGGATTACAGGTGTGAGCCACTGTGCCCAGCCTACTTTTTCTTCATTTAACTTCTCTTACTGTGTCTTCATCTCAGGTAACAGCGTGATCATCTACTCAGTCTCCCAAGCAAGAAACCTCTGAGTCAGCCTGGACTCCACCCTCTGCCCTTATCCCATGCAATCCATGCATCACAGTCTTCCAGAAGCCTTCCCCTCCTCTCCATTCCCTTTGCTTCCTTCAGGCTTTCTTTGTCTCTCACCAGGACTCAGCAGTGTCTCCTCACCCTTCTCGCTGCCTCCACTTTCTCCTCCATTCAATGCACCCTCCACCTTGCCTCCTGAGTTTGTTTCCTAAAAGAGCAACCTCAAGACTCAGCTGCTCTGCCTGAAGAACTCTGCTGCCTCCAGCAGAAAGCTCCACCTTTTTTTTTTTTTTTTTTTTTTTTTTTTTTGAGACCGAGTCTCGCTCTGTTGCCCAGGCTGGAGTGCAGTGGCACAATCAAGGCTCACTGCAAGCTCTGCCTCCTGGGTTCACACCATTCTCCTGCCTCAGCCACCTGAGTAGCTGGGACTACAGGCGCCCGCCACCATGCCTGGCTAATGTTTTGTATTTTTAGTAGAGATGGGGTTTCACCATGTTAGCCAGGATGGTCTCGATCTCCTGACCTCATGATCCACCCACCTCGGCCTCCGAAAGTGCTGGGATTACAGGCGTGAGCCACTGCGCATGGCGAAAGCTCCATCTTTTGAAACAGATATGATCCTCCAGCTGGGGCGCCGTAGCTCACGCCTGTAATCCCAACACTTTGGGAGGCTGAGGTGAGAGGATCACTTGAGCTCAGGAGTTCAAGTCCAGCCTGGGCAACACAGCAAGACCTCCACTGAAATTCAAAAAAATTAGCCAGGCGTGGTGGCTGTAAGAATTAAGGAAAGAGAAGAGAAACATGAAGGGTGGCTTGACAGTCATCAGGGATAGGTTTATTTTGAATAAACCTGAGAGGGGTAGCTGGCAGGGTTAGGTCAGAGCCACCCTCTCTTACAGACTAAGAGTTTGTAAGGATTCAGGGTGGGAGAGTTTATCAGAGGCTTGGACTGCTTCTGTGTCTCTTTGTTGTACTTATGTTGTGTTTATCTTTTTTCTGCAGCTACAGGCATATCCCCTGAGTCTGCTTTTAACTTCCATATCTTAGTTCACCTGAAGGGAAGGAAATGTGCTTATTAAGGCCCATTATTTTTTGTTTGTTTGTTTGTTTGTTTTGAGACAGTCTCTCTCTGTCGTCCAGGCTGGAGTGCAGTGGCGTGATCTCAGCTCACTGCAACCTCTGCCTCCCACATACAAGGGATTCTCCTGCCTCAGCCTCCTTAGTAGCTGGGATTACAGGTGCACACCACCATGCCCGGCTAATTTTTGTATTTTTAATAGAGATAGGGTTTCACCATGTTGGTCAGGCTGGTCTGGAACCTCAGCCTCCCAAAGTGCTGGGATTACAGGCATAAGCCACCGCGCCCGGCCTAAGGCCCACTGTTTTACTGGGGCCCATTGTATGAGAGTGAAGTTTGGCAGGTACCCAAGAGACTTTGCCTCCACCTCCCTCTGTACCCAAACTGTCTTATCTGTGTTTTACTGTCTGCTCTTTCTGTCTGCTTGTAGTTAGAAGTGATTTCCTTGAAATGCATGAGGCTAGAAAGGGAGCTGGAACTTAAAGTGGTGGTGTTTGTCCTAGATGACGGTGCTCCTGCTCCATCAGTGGCATATGGCTATAGTCCCAGCAACTTGGGATGCTAAGGCAGGAGGATCGCTTAAGCCTAAGAGCTTGAGACTGCAGTGAACTGTGATTATACCACTGCACTCCAGCCTGGGCGACAGAGCAAGATCCTGTCTCAAAATTAATGCATTATTATTATTAATTTTTTGAGACAGAATCGTGCTCTGTCGCCCAGGCTGGAGTGCAGTGGCAGAATCTCTGCTCACTGCAGCCTTTGCCTCCCGGGTTCAAGCAATTCTTCTGCCTCAGACTCTCTAGTAGCTGGGACTACAGGCGCGCACCACCAGGCCCAGCTAATTTTTGTATTTTTAGTAGAGACGGGGTTTCGCTGTGTTGGCCAGGCTGGTCTCGAACTTCTGACCTCGAGTGATCTGCCTTCTTCGGCCTCCCAAAGTGCTGGGATTACAGGTGTGAGCCACTGTGCCCAGCCTACTATTTTTTTAAGAGATCCTTCAAAACCTGACCTTAACCCTCCTTTCCAGCATCAGCTTTCATTTTTCATTCCAGTCACATAAATGTCTCACAATTCTACCTACTCCATACCTCCATATTTTTGGCTGGTCCAGCTCTCTCTTCTTTCTGCCTTGTACACATTTTCTCTTTCTTCAAGACCAATTTCAAAGGTCACAGCGTCTGTAATGCCTTCCCTCACTCTCAGGATTGAGCTCCCATTCCCACTGAACCTCGGCGAGTCTCCGCCCCTCACAGTACATAGCACCCTGCATGTTAACTCTCTTGTAGAAAAATCCATCTCCTTTGTTTTTTATTCATTTGTTTATTTACATACAGAATCTCCCTTTGTCTCCCACGCTGGAGTGCAGTGGCGCAATCATAGCTCACTGCAGCCTCCACCTCCTGGGCTCAAGCGATCCTCCTGCCTTAGCCTCCCCAAGTAACTGGGACTACAGGCATGTGCTATCGCACTCGGCTAATTTTTACATTTTTTGTAGAGGTGGGGTTCTCACTATGTTGTTGCCCAGGCTGATCTCAAACTCCTGCCCTCAAGTGATCCTCCCATCTTGGCCTCCCAAGGTGCTGGGCCAAGTGCTGCGGTACCATGCTAGATGGTATGTCACAGGTAGCCAGCGGTTCCTGGTAGTGACTATATTCAGAATGGCAGTTACAAGTCATCAGTTTCTTCTGCAGCAAGCACAGGGACACAGGAAGACAGTCCTGACTCCAGGGGCTAGCACCTGTTGGGGATTCTGGCATGCCAGGGCTAGCTCCACTCCTAGGGAAACTATATTGTCAGACAGGGCAACTGAGGCAGAAACCTTGGCCAACAGAGCAGAGAAGAGGAAAGGCAGGGGTCTGGTGGGCATCAGGGTTTCCAGGGCTCATCTCGGCAGTTAGAGGAAGGCAATGGCTTTTTGGAGAACAGAGTGAAGGACATATTGTGTGGGAAATGTCAGGGATGCGGCAAGGGAGGTGAATTAGTGGGATACGAACTCCATCGCTTCGCCTAAAGCTTTTCCTGGTCTTTCCATCTTCACTGGCCAAAGCAGCTGTCATACAACTGGGTCCTTTGCTGCTATGATTCCAGGGCTGGAAGGGTCCTTAAAGATATTCCAGCCAACGCCCTGGGTAATGCTGGAATTCCTCCTAGACTTTAGGCTCGATCCACACACTCCCAGAACTAGTAAAGCCCTCAGAGACCTGAGGACCTGGTATGCAGGGCCCACTCCTGCCTCCTCTGGGGGAGTTTTCCCCACCGCCTCCTTTCTTTGCCTGGTCCAAGTCCCAGCTCCCAGAAAGAGGTCCATACCTGAGATATCTCCACTTCCTCCTCCTCCAGAGCCAGCTTAAAGTCAGGAGGTGGCACAAGGCCGCGAAGCTCCGAAAGTCCTCCAGATTCCTTTGTGGTCAAGCCAGTTTCATTCAAATGAACCTTGTTCCCTGAGGATTTGTTCGTGGGGGAGTTATTGTGTACTTGATCATAGTTCCCATGGCTACCGGCTCACAGTGTGAAGGGAATGGGCATACATCCACGTCCTCCTGCAAAATTGGGATTTGACCTCATTTATAACCAAACATGCAGCAGGCAACCTTGCAAATGACACAGCATAAAGAGAGTCCAGAGAGTTCTGAAAGACTTAGTAGAAAAGAACGTTAAATAAAATGGTACATGTGGAAGGATGTGTTCTCTCCCTGGTTCAACTTAGGTGCATAATAGCTGTTCATAGCAGTATTAACCTTGACATTCAGAAGGGAGACCATTCAACTGAAAGGTTGCAAATTGGCAACCCTCAGCCGGAATCTCACCCATAGACCTATTTATCCAATTTCAGAGTACTATGGTTTGAACGAGTCCCTCAAAGCTCAGGTGTTGGAAAGTTAATCCCTGATGTAATACTGTTGAGAGGTGGGATCCTCAAGAAGCCATTATAATGGATTAATGCCATTATTTCAGGAATGGGTTTGTTATAAAAGCAAGTTCAGGCCCCTCTCCCTCTCTCTCATGCTCTCTTGCCACATGATGATGTCTCACCAGAGGCAGCTCCTGTATCTTGGACTTCACAGCCTCCAGAACTATAAGTCAAATAAATGTCTATTGTTTCTAAACTACGCAGACTGTGATATTCTGTGATAGCAACATGAAGTGGACACAGAGTGCTTAAAACTTGTTTTGAGTCAACTTTAAAAAAATCAGTATCTTTCACTGAAAAAAAAAAAAAAATCCAGGCCCAGTACAGTGGTTCACACCTATAATCCCAGCACTATGGGAGGTCGAGGTGGGTGGATCACGTGAGGCCAGGAGTTCAAGACCAGCCTGGCCAATATGGTGAAACCCCATCTCTACTAAAAATACAAAAATTAGCCAGGTATGGTGGCATGCACCTGTAATACCAGCTACTTGGGAGGCTGAGGCACAAGATTCGTTTGATCCCAGGAGGCAGAGGTTGCAGTGAGCCGAGATTGTGCCACTGTACTCCAGCCTGGGTAACAGAGTGAGATCTTGTCTCCAAAACAAACAAACAAACAAACAAACAAACATCCAGATTCCAGTGTCAATGTCCTTCTGTTAAGGGCTACCAAGAACACACTTAAAAGAAAGTTTTAAAACAAAGTTGGGGGACTGGGTGTGGTGGCCCATGCATGTAATCCCAGATCTTTGGGAGGCTGAGGTGGGAGGATTGCTTTAACGTGGGGGTTTGAGACTAGCCTGGGCAACATGGTGAAACCCCATCTCTATAAAAATTACAAAAAATTAGCCAAGCGTGGTGGCATGTGCCTGTAGTCCTAGCTACTCAAGGGGGCAGAGGTGGGAGAATCACCTGAGCCTGGGAGGTTGACGCTGCAGTAAGTCATGATTGCAGCACTATACTCCAGCCTGGGCAAGAGAATGAGACCATATCTCAAAAAAACAAAACAAAACAAAACACACAAACAAACAAAAAAACCCAAAACAATGACAACAAAAACCCAAAACAAAAAAAGTCAGTTTTACGGACTCATTGCAATGAAGGAGACCACATAATATGGGGAACCACAAGGCATCTCAGAAAGAGGTGTTGAAGATGACTTAGACTGGGCATGGTGGCTCCCGCCTGTAAGCCCAGCAATATGGAATACCAAGACAGGAAGATTGCTTAGGCCCAGGAGTTCAAGACCAGCCTAGGCAACATAGTGAAATCCCACATCTAATTTTTTAAAAAAAAAGACTTATTGTAGGACTTATGCTCATGTCATGTTTCAGGAGAGGATTCGAGGCAAGAGGGTTTGCTCTGGTTTAGATGCATCACGAAGGAAGGGGTAATTCTTTTTTTTTTTTTTTGAGACGGAGTCTCACTCTGTCACCCAGGCTGGAGTGCAGTGGCACAATCTCGGCTCACTGCAAGCTCCACCTCCCAGGTTCACACCATTCTCCTGCCTCAGCCTCCCAAGTAGCTGGGACCACAGGTGTCCACCACCACGTCCCCCTAATTTTTTTTGTATTTTTAGTAGAGACGGGGTTTTACCATGTTAGCCAGGATGGTCTCGATCTCCTGACCTCGTGATCCGCCCACCTCGGCCTCCCAAAGTGCTGGGATTACAGACATGAGCCACCATGCCCAGCCAGGAAGGAGTAATTCTATGTCTGAGTATCTTAATTTTCAACTGAAAGGTGGGAGAAAGGAGCAGAACTAAATAGTTTGGACAATGTTCTTGTTTTTGTCTGTGTTCAGACATCATGAGTACACAGTGGCCTTGTTTTTGTCTGATCCACCACAGTCATAGAGTGGCCTTGTCTCTGTCATGGTGTTCTACAAAACTGTTGATGTTGGCTGGGTGCAGTGGCTCACGCCTGTAATCCCAGCACTTTGGGAGGCCGAGGCAGGTGGATCATCTGAGGTCAGGAGTTTGAGACCAGTCTAGCCAACATGGTGAAAACCCTGTCTCTATTTTAAAAATACAAAAATTAAGCCAGGTGCAGTGGCTCATGCCTGTAATCCGAGGTTACATATCCTCCCCCCCCCCCCCCCCTCCCCTCCCTTCCCCCCCCCCCCTCCTCTCTCCTCCCCTCCCCTCCCCTCCCCTCCCTTCTCCTTTGCTTTCCAAGACAGAGATTTTTTTTTTGCTCTGTCGCCCAGGCTGGAGTGCAATGGCACGAACTCAGCTCACTGCAACCTCCGCCTCCCAAGTTCAAGCAATTCTCCTGCCACAGCCTCCCAAGTAGCTGGGATTACAGGTGCCTGCCACCATGCCCAGTTAATTTTTTGTATTTTCAGTAGAGTTGGGATTTTGCCATGTTGGCCAGGTCACCTGATCTCAGGTGATCTACCCACTGCGGCCTCCCAAAGTTGCTGGGATTACAGGCCTGAGCCACCGCGCCTGGTCTACATCCATCCTTTTTATATTGACTTTGCCTCTTACAGACAAATGATATTCAAAATACTAGACAAGAAGACACCGTAGAAATGAGTGTAGAAGGACAGAAAACAATTGCACCAAGGACAAAATAAATACCTGATCAGATAACCAAAAATCCAGCGTGGGGGCCTTATTCCAGGAGTAAAAAAACTGAAAAACCAAATAAACCCACTGCTTGGCAGGGCATGGTGGCTCATGCCTATAAGCCCAGCACTTTGGGAAACCAAGGTGGGAGGATCACTTTGAGCTCAGGAGTTTGAGACCAGCCTGGGCAACATGGCGAAACCCTATCTCTATAAAAAAATATATAAAAATTAACTGGCATTGCCAGGCACGGTGGTGGCTCACGCCTGTAATTCCAGCACTTTGGGAGGCCGAGGCGGGTGTATCACCTGAGGTCAGAAGTTCGAGACCAGCCTGACAAACATGGAGAAACCCCATCTCTACTAAAAATACAAAATTAGCCGGGCGTGGTGGTGCATGCCTGTAATCCCAGCTACTCAGGAGGCTGAGGCAGGAGAATCGCTTGAACCTGGGAGGTGGAGGTTGCGGTGAGCTGAGATCGTGCCATTGCAGCCTGGGCAACAAGAGTGAAACTCTGTCTCAGAAATAAATAAATAAATAAATAAATAAATAAAATAAAAAGTAAACCCAATGCTTACGGATATCAACAAAATATCAGAACGCAATTCAATTAGCTCCGAACCATCAGTAGGATGGCACCTCAGAGACATAAGCAGTTTCAGGTGTACATACAATGATGAGTCAAGGGTCCCAGTCCCAGGCAGTGAGGGCTTCAGCTGAATCTTTGTTGCTCCTCCATTTCTGATAGTATCTTCCAACCAAGGACCACCAGGAAGCACCTGAAGTTGAACAACGGCGGCTGAACAACACGGATATCTCAGCAAGAGCATGTGTGAAAGGACTTATTACAGGATTGGAGCTTTCGTTAGGGGACTTCTTAGGCAGGTTCAAAAAGGGGGGCATTTGCTCTGGGTTGGATGCTATCAGGAGGTAGGGATAATTATTTTTGGTTATCTTAATAATTCTTATCTAGCAGATGGGAGGAATGAATCAAGCTAAAACTGTACTTAGTAAAGCAGCAGCAGTGGCCAGGTGCAGTGGCTCATGCCTGTAGGCCCAGCACTTTGGGAGGCCAAGGCGGGCAGATCACTGGAGGTCAGGAGTTCGAGACCCGCCTGGGCAACGTGGTGAAACCCCATCTCTACTAAAAATACAGAAATGATCTGGGCATGATGGTGGTTGCCTGCAATCCCAGCTACTCTGGAAGCTGAGGCAGGAGAATCACTTGAACCTGGAGGTAGAGGTTGCAATGAGCCAAAATCGCATCACTGCACTCCAGCCAGGGTAACATAGCAAGACTTCATTTCAAAAACAAAACAAAACAGACAAAAACAACAACCAAAAAAGAAGCAGCAGTGACTTACCCTGTGGGAGTGAGGATTGTGTTGGTAATTTTCGTGGTTTGGACAATGTTCTTGTTTCTGTGTTGAGGCTTAATTATGGAATGGTCTTTTTCTCTATCATCAGTCAAAGAGGGACCTTGTCTGATGTTTTTTGTGAAATTATGCTCAACAGGACACCACCATGGCCTCACTGTTGGTGCCAGGCCATCTCCTAGCAACATCAAGGCTTCTGGAGTGAGGGTGCAAACCAGCTCCCAGCTGGCAGCAGTTGCTTTTCTCTTTTACACCGCCACACTCGAAATCAGAATTGGCAACCCCTTTGGTAGAACATGAGCTCCCGGTCACTATAAGCCCACTTATACCCAGTAACGGGCCTACGTCACTCATTTACACTCTGACCTCTCTCCTGCGAGGTTGGTGATTGCACCAACCACGCCCAGAGAAAAGTCACTCGTCCAGCATCTCCCAGGGACCTGCTGGCAGGGCTGAAGATAGAACTCTGACTCTGTGTTTTCCCTCTAGCAACTTCCCTTGCTAGACATCAAAGCGCATTGTTAAATCCCTGATGTATTGGCTTCTAAACTGGATGCAGATCGGGTCAGATAAAAACACTTCTCAGTGCACCTTCTTGTCAACAGTGGGTTCCTATCTTTTCTTCTTTCTTTTGGGATTGGGTGCTAGGTCCCATGACATTAGCTAGGATTCTAAGACCTTTGCTCAGCTGCTGCTGCCACCACTGACACGCACTCTGCTCCTCAAATACAGAGAGCGTGTTCCTGCCTTGAGGATCTTTGCATTTGCCTTCCCTCTGCTTGGAACTCTTCCCTCACATCCGCTTCCTAGCTTCAGCTCGGCATCACCTCCTCAGAGAGGCCTTCTATCCTTGGTGCCCGGGCACCACTGCCCCCCTTTTTGGCTTTTTTTTTTTTTTTTTTTTTTTTTTTTTTAAAGGATGCTATGTTGCCCAAGCTGGAGTGCAGTGGTCCGATCATGTATTAACTTCAGCTTCCAACTCCTGGCTTCAAGCGTTCCTCCTGCCTCGGCCTCCCGAGTAGCTAGGCTTACAGACTGGAGTTACAGGTGTGAGCCACCGCGCCCGGCCGCTTTGGCCTCCTTTAAGAGCTTCCCTCCGCGCTTTGTTCCAGTTTTCGTCACGGTCTGTTCAGTGCGCGGGGTTGGGAGCCGGGAAACTGCCCAATGCCCAGACCTCACGGTCTGTTTCCCCTCAAGCTCGTGAAGCTCTCTGACAGCAGAGACCCAATCACGAGGCGGAGACTTAGCCTTCCACATCGGGCAGCGGCTCGGCTGCATCCTCGATCTGGTCTTGGGGATTCGAGACCAGAGGGGAGAGCACGTTGACCCGCCCGGGGAACCTTAGGGCCACACACCACCCATCCACCTGCTTCCCCAGCAAGCCCACTGCGCATGCTCCATACTCCAGCCCCGCCCCCCATTCAGGGGCGGGGCCGCGCCTGCGCAGCTACCCGGCACTGGCTTCCGGGTGGTGCGAGAGAGATGGGGTGGAGGGCCTGTCTGGCTGAGTAGAGGCGGTGAGTGGGCGTGTGCGCGGAGCGGTCTGGCCCGAGGGCTAGGGGCCGGCCGAAAGTCTTCGGGAGCAGGTCGCAGGGCGCGGAGAGAGCCTGGGATCGCCGTCTGCTGCTGCTGCTACCCGGTATGTCGGCGGAGGCCTCGGGCCCGGCGGCCCCCGCGGCCCCGTCCCTAGAAGCCCCCAAGCCCTCGGGTCTCGAGCCTGGCCCCGCCGCCTACGGTCTCAAGCCGCTGACCCCGAACAGCAAATATGTGAAGCTGAACGTGGGCGGCTCGCTGCACTACACCACGCTGCGCACCCTCACGGGACAGGACACCATGCTGAAGGCCATGTTCAGCGGCCGCGTGGAGGTGCTGACCGATGCCGGAGGTACTAGCGGCGCCCCCACCGAGCCCCCATCCCCAGATCCCCAACTCCCGTTCCCCTCAGTCTCTCACCAACGGGGCTCCTCATGCCCCTTCTCTCTGCCCGCTGCTGTCCAGTCAACTCATTCTCAGCTCCCTCCAGCCCCGACATCCCATCTCCTTGCCTTTCCTCATTCATAATTTCTCTTCTCCTCCCCCAATCCTTTACCCCCAGCAATAACCAACACTTATACGGAACCCCTAACTCTGCCAGGCGCTGTGGTAAGTGATTGAACGTGTCAGTTCATAATCCTCATGACTACCTCTCCCACCCTTCACGCCTCAGCTCAAGACTTGGGAACCAGCCCTGCTGCCTGCAGTACTACTCCTGGCAGCCTTCATCAGTTTCCTCCGACCTCCCAGCCTTTTGTTTCCCACTCTGCTTCAGAACTGCTAACAACCAGCCAGGAGAGCTGGGAGATCTTGTCTGCCTCTGTGTTCCCCTGACACAGGTCCCTGTCCATTCTAGGAATCCATCTGTATATACACATTGCAGAAGGAGGCTGCTTTGGGTTTGCCAGGGACACCAGAGTGGAGGGTGGACAGGTGTCCTTGGCAGGTGAACCTTACCTTCTTGGAGTGTTGTATTCAAGTTTGGACCCTTCGTGCCCAAGTGAGACCTTGAAGTTTTGGAGTTTGGGAGTGGGAGAGTCTTAAGGGAGGGGTTAACAAGGACTGTGAGACAGGAGAATAAAAATTTGGGAGGCGGAGATCTGCCTTCAGGTATCAAAGGTGAAGAATTCGGCCAGGCACGGTGGCTCACGCCTATAATCCCCGCACTTTGGGAGGCCAAGGCGGGTGGATCACCAGAGGTCAGGAGTTTGACACCAGCCTGACCAATATGGTGAAACTCCGTCTCTACTAAAAATACAAAAATCAGCCGGGCGTGGTGGTGTGCACCTGTAGCCCAGCTACTTGCGAGGCTGAGACAGGAGAATCGCTTGAACCTGGGAGGCAGAGGTTGCAGTGAGCCGAGTCGGCGCCACTGCACTCCAGCCTGGGCGACAGAGCGAGACTCTGTCTCAGAAAAAAAAAAGGAAGAATTCATTTGTCCAATGAGTATTTGTAAAATATCAGTTAGTGCTGGAGATAGGTAAATGAACCTGACAAAATTATGTAACTTCCCTTTTTTTAGGGAGGTGGGAGATCAGAAGACCAATAAACAACTAAACAAAATGTATATGCATATGCAATTGCAGATAGTAGTAAGTTCTTTCTTTTTTTTTTTTGATAGTAAGTTCTATGAAGAAATAAAAGTTAAAATGGCAGTGAACTGGATGAGGGGAGGTAGACATTTTAATTAAATAGAATGGTGAGAATTAACATCGGGGGTTAGCGGTTTATTGATAAGGTAATTCTGCAAGAACTTTCTCATGGTGAGAGTCTTCTGACTGTAGACCAGATTTGGATGAATTAATTCTCTGGCTGGATGTGTATAAACTTATGAGAGAACTCGCTGGAGATGTTTTAAAGAGATTTCTTGGCTGTGGCACAGGCTTGAGACAGATCAGTATTCAGACTTTTTTGTGGCTTTGGAATCCTTTTTCTTTTTCCTTTTTTTTTTTTTTTTTTTGAGACGGAGTCTTGCTCTGTCGCCCAGGCTGGAGTGCAGTGGCCGGATCTCAGCTCACTGCAAGCTCCACCTCCTGGGTTCACGCCATTCTCCTGCCTCAGCCTCCTGAGTAGCTGGGACTACAGGCGCCTGCCACCTCGCCCAGCTAGTTTTTTTTTGTATTTTTTAGTAGAGACGGGGTTTCACCGTGTTAGCCAGGATGGTCTCAATCTCCTGACCTCGTGATCCGCCCGTCTCGGCCTCCCAAAGTGCTGGGATTACAGGCTTGAGCCACCGTGCCAGGCCTTGGAATCCTTTTTCTTTACTTTTCTTTTTTTTTTTTTTTCTTTTTCTTTTTTTTTTTTTTTTTTGGCGAGTCTCGCTCCTGCCGCCCAGGCTGGAGTGCAGTGGCAGATCTGGCTCACTGCAGCTCCGCCTGCCTCCCGGGTTCTCGCCATTCTCCTGCCTCAGCCTCCTGAGTAGCTGGGATTACAGCGCCCGCCACCTCGCCCGGCTAGTTTTTTTATGTTTTTAGTAGAGACGGGGTTTCCGTGTGCCAGGATGGTCACAAATCTCTCCTGACCTCGTGATCCACCGTCTGGCCTCTAAAGTGCTGGGATTACAGGCAAAACCACCACGCCCGACCTTACATATTTTTAGTAGAGACCGGGTTTCACCGTGTTCGCCAGGATGGTCTCAATCTCCTGACCTCGTGATCCGCCCGTCTCGGCCTCCTAAAGTGCTGGGATTACAGGCTTCTTGGGCTTACCGTGCAGGCCTTGGAATCCTTTTCTTACTACTTTTCTTTTTTTTTTTTTTGAGACGGAGTTTTATCTGTTCCCAGGCTGTCTCGCTCACCCCAGCCTCCGCCTCCTCAGGTTCGGCGAGCTCTTGTTTCCCAGGCTGTCTCGGCTCACCACAACCTCCGCCTCTCAGGTTCAAGCGATTCTCCTGCCTCAGTCTCCTGAGTAGTTGGGATTACAGGCATGCGCCACCACGCCTGGCTAATTTTGTGTTTTTATTAAAGACGGGGTTTCTCCATGTTGGTCAGGCTGGTCTCGAACTCCTGACCTCAGGTGATCCACCCACCTTGGCCTCCCAAAGTGCTAGGATTACAGGCGTAAGTCACCACGCCTGGCCTTCTTTTCTTTTCTTTTTCTTTTTTCTTTTTATTGTTTTGAGACGGAGTTTCCGTTTTATTGCCCAGGGAGTGCAATGGCGCGATTTCGGCTCACTGCAAACTCCACCTCCCGGGTTCAAGCTGTTCTCCCACCTCACCCTCCCAAGTAGCTGGCATGCGCCACCAAGCCCAGCTAATTTTGTATTTTTAGTAGAGATGGGGTTTCTCCGTGTTGGTCAGGCTGGTCTCAAACTCCTGACTTGAGGTGATCTGCCCGCCTCAGCCTCCTAAAGTGTTGGAATTACAGGTGTGAGTCACTACACCTGTCTGGAATCCTTTTTTCTTATAATTTAGGCCAGGTTTGGTGGCTCACACCTATAATCCAAGTGTTTGGGAGGCTGAGATGGGAGGATCACTTGAGCCCAGGAGTTTGAGACCAGCCTGGGCAACATAGTGAGACTCTGTCTCTACAAAAAAGTAATTTTTAATTTAGTAGTTCCAGGTCACTCAGCAAAGCCATCTTTCCCCCTGCTTCTCCCCACCCCACTAGGTTGGGTGCTGATTGACCGGAGCGGCCGCCACTTTGGTACAATCCTCAATTACCTGCGGGATGGGTCTGTGCCACTGCCGGAGAGTACCAGAGAACTGGGGGAGCTACTGGGCGAAGCACGCTACTACCTGGTGCAGGGCCTGATTGAGGACTGCCAGCTGGCGCTGCAGGTGAGGGCCTTCCGAGTCCCTGTGCCTATGTTCCTGGGAGAGCTGCCCAAGCAGGTATTAGGGCAGAAAAAAGGAGATACGGGGTATGGCTTGGAGAGCCTGGTTCTGACTGGCCATAACCCCAGAGAATTTGAGGTGCCATCTTCTGCATCCCTGCTGCCTCAGGCAGCATCCTCACCCCAACCTCATGCCAGGACGTTTGCAACGGTTAAATAGCTACTCTCTGCTTCCCACTCTTCTTATGCAGCCAGTCCAGCTGTTACACTAGCACCTGAGTAATTATCTTTAAACACAACCCTGATCTGTTCTCTCTCTCGCTCAGAAATCCTAAATAGCTCCCTCATGTCACTAGGGAAAAACATCTAAATTTAAATTGAAATATAATAACCTCTGTGATCTGGTATCCTGGGAGGCAGCATTCTCCCATGGCTTCCCCCCCCCATGGGCTTTCTTTTTTTTTTTTTTTTTTTTTTTAAAACGGTGAAATTCTTTATTCAAATGAAATCTCACAGAAGCCGGGCCACTCCCAGTAAAACAGGGTTGGGGATTCTAGAGACCCTACCTGCTGGGTTCCAGTTTTGTAGACCCCTTAGGGTTCTGAGGAGCAGAGCTTGGAAAGTGAAGCCAGGACATAAGGGTTCCGTGTCACCTCTGTCACAGCTGACTCAGTGACCTTCAGTGAGTCCATTCCTACCTCTGGGATCCTGTCCTTATGTTCCAAAAGATAGGGAAGGGAGAAAAATAAGTACAAAGTAGTGAGTTTTACATAAAGCCTGTTATTCTGTTCTATTTTTACAGTGTAATGTCCTTTCTTTTATGATACAGTAGTAAGAGGAGATTATAAAAGTTTCTTTTCGAATGCCCTTTATAGATTAAAAGGTGGCCTCTCTGAACAACTTTTGTCTCAGGGAATGCTTACTGGTTCTTGAAACCCACTCAGGGAATGCTTACTGGTTCTGAAACCCAAAGGTGTAGATCTCCCTTTTGGACAATATCCATGTTTTTCAAAAAAAAACTTTTCAATTGCCTCCCATAGGGAAAAAATGCATTTTAGTGCTCACTATATATAACTGAAATAACAGTTCTAT